TGCTGTTCATCGGAGCTGCTGCTGTTCATCAGAGCTGCTGCTGTTCAAACAAGTGGGAGGTTTTCTGACATTTACTAAGCTACATTTTATCCAATTGTTTTCTTGTGCATTTATTTTACTCTATGTATTCCCGTGTGAACACAAATAGCAGCAGGAGCTCTTGTTCAGGATGAAGCAGGGGTATCACAGGACTTGCTGTTAAAAATAACCGCACCACAGCCTGCAAGTGTTGAGCCAAGGAGGACAGGTTGTCTCAAGAAACCTAAAAAGGTCTCACTGAGCTCCGAGTGTGGGAACCTGCCACAAAATAATCTTAAAAGTTGTTTCTAATTTCTGCTGAAATGGATATTGTTGACATATAAAAGTTAGATGTTTTTTTTACCAATCTTCTAAAATGTAACAAAAAAAGTTCTGCCAATATAAATAAGTATTCAATTTAAAAATGTTTTCACAAATAAAGAATTGTTTGAAAATGGAGAAAATGATAGATTTATTTCAGTTACCGTACTTTTTTCTGAATACAGACATCTCTTCTTCAGTCCTGCTTTCATTTGAGTCTTAAAGTCCTAAAGTTTGATAAAGGCAGCCAAAAACAGACCTTTGTGTAATTTATTTTGCAGGTGAAGATTACATCTTTTCATTTACAAACTGCAGAATGAGAATGAAGTTTAGGGCTAAATTCTATATATAGTCTTCAGTGCGTCCATACATGGGGTGGAAGGAGAACAGCATTCCTCTGAGGAGAGGGTAATATTTTTGTTGCCATCAGCAAGTGCTTCCCAAGCGGCATCAGGCTGGTCTGCCACCGCTTTGCACTGTTTTAATCTCTTGGGGTGAGTAGCTTTTTTATTATTTGCTGAGTAGTTGGTTAATTTTATTGGATATGCATCTTTGTTTAACTGGAAGTTTGGTGTTGGAAGTTAAGCTGTCAAGCTTATGGTGAGATATTTAGCTAAAATAAACTGCCCTACATGTCTCTTGTGTGAGAAGACCAGAGTAGCAGCAGTCTAATCTGCTGGAGCAGAAGATCTGTAGATACCAGGCTCTTAAGAGGTTGCTGACGTTCTTCTCCTGATTTATGTCGGCTAAACTGACTTTGATAAGAATATTACCATGTTGGTTTATTGTACTGTAGTGAATGAAGTGACTGCTTTACATTTGAGCCTTGCCTCATTTAAAACAACCTTTGGAGTTGGATTAATCTGATTTCAGGCTGCTTTTAACGTGATAGGAATGTGAGGTCCCGGTAATAACCGTTGTCTCCATGTCTCTAATTGTGGAATCAGCAGAGTAATGTAGGGTATGTGCACTTGAACTCTGTAATGTTACAAAAGAAAAATAAAAGGAGAGGCAAACTTTAGAAGACATTTAAGTTACTCAATGTCATTTAGTGTTTTAGTAATTAAGCAAAATAACCATTATATCGTAAAAATGTTCCTAAAAGCCACACCAGTGACTTTGTTGACGTATGGTCACAATTAGTAATTTGACATGTTATGAACTGATAATCTTGCATATTCTCTAACAGAAATAGTAAAAGTGAAAACCTATATTGACTTTTCTAACTTGATTTTTACACGTTTGTTGTCCCCCCTCCCCTGGTGCTCACAGTCAGGTCTCCTTGAAGTGTTCCCATCATGGCCTCCAATGTCATACCTTGGTATAAGAAGAAGCAAGTGACCCAAGTTAAAAGTGATTATGCTTATCATCACAGTAAACATGTTGTCCAGCAGCAGACAGAAAGGTATGGATGTGGCATGGCCCTGCTGCTTTGAAAAGCGCTGCTGCTTTGCCAGAAAAACAAATGTGTCACACCAACTGCCGAGGAGCACATCTGCTGCCATTCAGATTCCTGCCCTAAAAGTGTCTACTTCCTGCTACATGCCCATTGGTCCTCAATAAATCACCTCATTACAAAGTGACGGTCACAAACAATGACTGACTGACTGGCCCAAAAACTATTATTGAGGTTATGTGGAATCCAGTGGTGTAATCTACATTTTTGTAGTGGGTATACCGCGGTAAAGTTTTACGTTGAACACCGTTGAAGCTACGGAGCATGAATGTCCAACGTAAAACTAACTTTACCGTGGTCGGTCTGTATACTGTGCTTAGAAACCAAAGTACTGGTTAGTATAATGAAATCATTAATTTATTTAGATTTTTAAGCATATTGAACATTTCCAAATTTCTCAGTTTATATTTGAATAAATGAACAACAAACTTTGTACAACAGCTGGCTTTGTATTAAAAACATGTTATAGAATTTATAAAACTATCAAAGCAAGCATGTTCAAGTATTAAGTAGTAAGTACAGAATTATTAATTATACAATAATTTGCTGAATAAGCAAATATAATAAACAAGCGCTGCATACTGATAGATTGTTACGGAAGCATTAAACTGCTGTTTAACATATCAATGGCACATGCCCAATGATATGTCATGTATCACTGGGTCCTTTTAAGTACATATACTGAAATTCTTAAGTTTTTCTAGTGGGTATACTCCGTATACTCACGTATCACGTAGAGTACACCACTGGTTGAATCCCTTTCAGACAGTTATAAGTGCTAAATGGACTGTTTTTTCATTCATTCAACCTTTATTTAAACAGATAAATCACATTGAGCCTCAAAGACTCATTTACAAGTGAGACCTGTTTGGACAGACACAAACTGGTTAACTGGACACATGTAGAAGTTGGAGGTGAAAAAAATTTCTATCAGACTTTTTTTTCTGCCTGAGAAAAATACCCTCTAACATTAAAAAACACCTCGCACAAACAAGCACATATTTACGTAGACATTCTGCAAACGGAGACGAGAGCAGTCAGCAATGTTCATAGATGCTCTCGAGGTCACTGTAATCAGTCAATGACCTCCGGTGAGATCCATTAACATTCTCGAGGTATGTCGAGGAATGGCCAAGGATAACATCTATGAGAATCCAAGAGTCCTGAAATGATGACACAAAGTTTATTCCGCTGGTACAGCTGGACTGTACTTAATATAACACTTTTCTATCTAATCCAAACACTCAAAGCTCTTTACAACACAATCTTTGCCCTCATTTCTCCATTCATACAGCACTCTACTAGATCTATACAAAGACTAATCAGTGCTTTAGATCACATTCATACACCATGTCGGAGCCAATGAGGGGTTCAGTGTCTTGCCCAGGGACACTTCAGCATGTGACTGTGGTAGAATCAAACCCCCAACTCTCCCATTGGAAGATGACTGCTCTAACCACTCAGCCACAGCTGCCCATAAGGATACATGATGATGTATTTTGAAAATTTATTTGATTAATCTTAAGAAAAAACTTTTTCTTTGAGTCACAGCTTAAACTGATTGTGAATCACAGACATCACAAAGGCCAATTTTATGATTTTTATATATTTTTGGAATTTAAAGATGGTTAAAGTATTGTTGGGTGTTGCTTCCATCGTGTTGCCTTTATCTTTTATTTTATTACAGTTTAAACTTGATTAAACAGCTGTGTCTCTGGTAAAGAAGTGATTTAAGAGACCGTCGGTATGTGCTTGTTGAGTACAAAATGAAGCTCTCCGAACTCCTCCCATGCCGGAGTTTTTGCCTCAGCGACCACCTGAGCTGCATGTCGCTTGGACTGCCAGTACCCATCAGCTGCTTCCAGGGTCCCACAGGCCAAAAAGGCCCGATAGGACTCCTTCTTCAGCCTGACAGCATCCCTCACCGCCGGTGTCCACCACCGGGTTCGAGGGTTGCCGTCGCGACAGACACCGACAACCTTGCGGCCGCAGCTCCGGTAAGCCGCCTCAACAATAGAGGCACGGAACATGGCCCACTCGGACTCAATGTCCCCCACCTCCCCCAGAACATGTTCGAAGTTCTCCCTGAGGTGGAAGTTAAAGCTCCGTCTCCCAGGAGACTCTGCCAGACATTTCCAGCAAGCCCTCACAATACGTTTGGGCCTGCCAGGTCTGACCGGCATCTTCCCCCACCATTGGAGCCAACTCACCACCAGGTAGTGATCAGTGGACAGCTCTGCCCCTCTCTTCACCCAAGTGTCCAAGACATGTGGCCGTAGATCAGATGAGACAACGACAATGTCGATCATCAAACTGCGGCCTAGGGTGTCCTGGTGCCAAGAGCACATATGGACACCCTTATGCTTGAACATGGTGTTTGTTATGGACAATCCATGATGAACACGGAAGTCCAACAACAGAACACCACTCGGGTTCAGATCGGGGGGCCATTCCTCCCAACCACACCCTTCCAGGTCTCACCGTCATTGCCCATGTGAGCATTGAAGTCCCCCCAGCAGAACAAGGGAGTCCCCAGGAGGTGCACTTTCCAGTACCCCCTCCAAGGACTCCAAAAAGGGTGGATAATCTGAACTGCCGTTTGGTGCATAAGCACAAACAACAGTCAGAACCCGTCCCCCACACATAGGTGGAGGGATGCCACCCTCTCATTCACCGGGGTGAACTCTAACACACAGGAAACAAGATGGGGAGCAATAAGTATGCCCACTCCTGCTCGGCGCCTCTCACCAGGGGCAACTCCAGAGTGGAAGAGTGTCCAACCCCTCTCAAGGAAACTGGTTCCAGACCCAGAGGGTAGTGCTTAGAGGTGAGTTCGACTATTTCTAGCCGGAACCTTTCAACCTCACACACCAGCTCAGGCTCCTTCCCCACCAGTGAGGTGACATTCCACATCCCAATAGCCAGCTTCTGTATCTGAGGATCAGACCGCCAGTGTCCCCGCCCTCGGCCACCACCCATCCCACATTACACCCGACCCCTTTAGCCCCTCCCACAGGTGGTGAGCCCATGGGAAGGGGGACCCACATCTCCTCTTCGGGCTGTGCCCGACCGAGCTCCATGGGTAAAAGCCTGGCCACCAGGCGCTCGCCCGCATGTCCCACCTCCAGGCCTGGCTCCAGAGTGGGAACTGCTGATAAAAAAAACGTAATTTCCAGAGATCCTAACGGAGAGGAAAACACTGGGTTTTACTCCCGCTATTTTCTGGTTCAGAAAAAAATAGGAGGGATGAGACCCATTCTCGATCTGTCCATGTTCAGCAAATCGATCATGGAGAGACAAATCCACTTGCTGACAATCAACCAGCTGCTGTAGAATGTTCACCAGAATGACTGGTTCACCTCCATAGATCTGAAGGACACATAATTCCACATTCCCATCATCCTGAAACACAGATTCTGCATTTCTCCTTCCAGGGGATCCCATATCAGTACAACCGTCTGCCGTTCGGTTACTCTCTCGCCCCACGCACGTTCTCCAAATGCGTGGAGATGGCTCTGCAGCCATTAAACATGGCGGGAATGAGAATCCTCTTTTATCTGGACGGTCTGCTTTTATTAACTCGGTCCAGACAGGAAGCAGCCGTGCAGACCAAAGCTCTAGCGGTACACCTGCTAAATCTGGGTTTTTCTATAAACTGGGAAAAAAGTTCTGTTCTCCCATCCCAGATGATTGTTTAGCTGGGAGTGGAGCTTAACTCAACCACGATGAGAGCCCGATTATCAAAACTGAGAGCTGACGTTCTGTTAGCTCAGCTCCGCCATGTCCAACCCCGCAGCGTCGTGACAGCTCTGTCTGTCATGCAGCTCCTGGGGATGATATCAGCAGCTCACATTTTGTTCCACTGGGCCTGCTTCACATGAGACGCCTTCAGAGATGGTTCGCCCACCTGCGCATAGATTGTATGCGCCAGAAGAGACAGATGATCTCTGTCCCCCCTCCGTGGGAGCCGATCTGAATCACTGGGGAAACCCCCTCATCCTGTCAGAGGGAGTCCCCATCAGCAGGTCTACATCACACGTCTCAGTGTTGATGGATGCATCCCTGTCAGGTTGGGGAGGAACATGTCTGTCCCAGGCGGTGGGAGCACAGTGGCCAGACCACATGTCCCTTCACATAAATGTGCTGGAGCATCTCACAGTCTGGAAAGTGACTCAGCATTTTGCTCCTCTGCTGCGGGATCAGCATGTTCTGATCCACACAGACAACAGAGTGGCAGCAGCCTACATAAACCATCAGGGATGCGTGCACTCAGCTCAGCCGTTACACGTCGTGAGACAGCTGCTGTGCTGGGCACACAAAAAAACTGCTCTCCATTAGAGCAGTGTACATTCCCGGCATCCTTAACAGAGAAGTGGACATCAAGTCGAGGGGCGGTCCTCACCACGGGAACTGGAGCCTCCATCTCGAGCTGATCTCTCAGATCTGGAGCAGCTTCGGCCGTGCAGCAGTGGATCTGTTCGCCACATGGGAGAACGCCCAGTGTCAGCTATGGTTCTCACTGAGCCCATGGGATGATCCACCGTCAGGGGTGGACACCTTTGCTCACAGCCCATGGCTAAAAATGCTCCTTTATGCTTTCCCTCCAGTTCCGCTGATCCCATGGATCCTGGATCGAGTTTGGGAGGAAGAGCTGTCGGTCATTCTCGTAGCTTCCAAGTGCAAAATTGCCCCGTGGTTCCCAAACCTACAGCAACTGGTGTCAGGCCGGCCGTGGAAACTGTTGTGGAGGGAGGATGTGCTCCTCCAGGCAGGAGGAGCTATCAGGAGCTACCCAGAAATAGGTCAGCACCTCTGGGTTTGGCTACTGAACGGATCCGCTTAGAAAAGCTGGGCCTCCCACAGGATGTGGTACGTACGATCAAGGGTGCACGAGTCACTTCCACCACAGCGTTATATACATCAAAGTGGACAGCTTTTCAGCGCTGGTGCGCAGAGAAAGGCGTGGAGGCCATCTCATGTCCGTTAGGCGGCATACTGTCATTTCTGCAGCAGCTGATGGACAGAAAATTAGCTTTCAGCACAATTAAAATTTATGCTGCAGCTATCTCTTCCTGTCATGAGGGTTTCGGTGACAGAACAGTCTTTAACCACCCACTGATAAGGCGTTTTCTGAAAGGTGTACGGAGACAAAGACCTGTGTCACGTCCACTATCCCCACAGTGGGATTTAGCGATGGTTCTGTGTGCACTGGTTAAAGCTCCTTTTGAGCCTTTAGATCAGGTTTCACTTAAATTTCTGTCGTTAAAAACAGCCCTGCTGTTAGCTCTGACATTTTCAAAGAGAGTGAGTGATTTATCTGCTCTCTGTTGCTCTCTCATGTCTCAGAATTCAAGCCAATGGCAGCTCAGCTGTGCTGCGTCCTAATCCTGCTTTTACTCCTAAAAACATCACAAGCTCATTTAGATTGAGTGATAACCTTGGATGGGTTTTATCCTCCTCCTCATAATTCTGAGAAGGAAGCCACATCTCACCTCCTCTATCTCGTGCGTGCGCTCTCGTGTTACGTAGCGTGCACAGCGCTGCTCTCAGCTGCACTGCGCCGCTCTCAGCTGCACTGCACCGCTCTCAGCTACACTGTGCCGCTCTCAGTGTCTGTTCCTGCATTACAGGGACAGCTCTGCAGGACATCCTCTATCCATTCAGCACCTTTCACACTGGTTGTGTGAGGCTATTTCTGAGGCTTATAGTTCCTCTGGGCTGGATCCTCCAGAGAACCTCAGAGCTCATTCCACCAGACGGATTTCATTCTCCACAGCTCTGCATGGAGGGATGACAGTGGAGGATATTTGCACGGCGGCTTCTTGGTCATCCCCGTGCTCATTTATTCGTTTTTAGCTATGTGATGTTTCCACTTTCTCCATGACCCATTCTGTTCTCAGGGTTCTGGCAGAATAATTATTAGTTTTTCATGGAGCCTCAATTTGAGCTCACACCTGCCTGCATGCAGACGCAGTGCGAGACATTTATTATCAGTCACAGTTCATGACTGCTGATGTAATTAATCTGTTCATCCTGAGGAGTTGTTGGTCTGCTCTGCTCATCGTTACACTGTTACAACTTGTAACCTCCGTTGTTCCTATTTACAGCAGCAGGTCTGTTATTCCAGCCCTTTTTTCACCAGAGATCATTCGTTTCTCTGGTGCGCTGTTGCGCATGGAGCGCGTTATTATGCATAGAGAAGGCTGAGTGATGAAATGTGTTTTGTGCGAGCAGGTGCTTCATGTTTGTGTCTGGATGGACACAGTGAGACATAGACTACATCCTGCTTCGCCTTTAACCCACTAGCGATAGTCTTGAAGGGCGAAGCCTATACGAAATAGAACGTTGGTTACGTACTGTAACCCCAGATTCTGAGTATAGGTGTAGCCCTTTAAGCTCTGGGCCTCATTGGTTCCTAAATGGCTGAAGAAAAAACGCTATTTGGGAGCCGATTGTCCGATCTCACCGTAATTTATATGGACCGGGGGTGGGGCCCACACAGCCAGTGGGTGTGGACTAAAGTTTTCAGTGCTGCACTGCGCGCGAAGGGATAAACCCACTAACAACAGCCTTAAAGGGCTGCGCCTATACTCATAGAATCTGGGGTTACAGTACGTAACCAATGTTTTCTCCAGATAACAGGTTCATTAGTTTATTTTGATTTAGGAAAAATTGTTTTCTTCTGAGAACTAGAAATGATTACAGAAGTGTATTTTTTTTGGGGGGGTGGGGTTCAGAAATCTGGGCAGTCATGTCGGCAACTTGTTCAAGCTGAACATGTCACATCAAAGAGGATCCATCTTTAATCAGCGTATTGCTGTTATAAATAATTTACAAATGTTTTTTTTAAAGCTTGTTTTCTTTGGATGATATATTAAACAAAGCTCATAAGCTGCTAATACACATCTCCAGCAGTCACTATGCAAGAGGGTACACACTGGACAGGTCCCAAGTCCTTACAGCAGGGCTATTCAACTGATCAGGCCCACAGGTGAACTCAGTTTGGCCCACCAAAGGGTTCATTTTTAAATAAAACTATATTTTAAACCATAAAACAAACTTACTTCATGACAGTAACTGCTGCATGTCCGGCCCCTGAGCTTTTGGCTTTGAGTAACTGTGGCCTCCTGAGCAATTTAGTTGAACAGCCCTGCCTTCCAGGGACATAGCGACAAATGAGACAGACAACCAATTACATTCTCTCCCACCTAGTGCCAATTTAGAGTTATAAATTAATCTAACAAGCACAGTTTGTGTCAGTGGTAGAAAACTGATGTACAAGGAGTACTGAAGTATAAATAGGAGTCGATCCGGTGACCTTTGCATTGAAAGGCGATGGCTCTTACCACTGTTTCATGCTGCCCTAAATTAAGCTAGTTTATTTTTATTTATTTTTAAAATCCAATAAAAACACAGTGGTTATTAAGACAATTTGATCATAACTTGTGATCTTGAGAAAATCACATCACAACTAATACCAGCTGACATGACCAACTCAGCTTCCATACTTTAGTCTTTTACAATAAGCTTGAATATTTTAGTGAAACCATCCAGAGAATATCTGTTAGCATTTTTATTTCATTTCAATTCAGCTTATTTATATAGCGCCAAGTTACAACAGAAGTCATCTTGGGACACTGAACAGAAACATTAATATACATAACAAGTAAGCTAACAACATTGTTTATCTGAGGAGCAGACTGCTTTGAGTTTGAAGCCCCCAGTATACTCCCGCGTACATCCATACGCGGAAGTACGCACGTACCCCCACAGGGCATGTCTGTGCAAAGCGCACTTTTTACGACCGCGTGCGTACGCGTACTCTGTGTCGCACAATAAACTGTCCGGCGACGGACTGTTTTGTATGTAACACCATTGTATTAAATTCCCCTTCTTCATCCCTGATCTGGCCTTTTCTTTTGTTTTTTTGCCAAGAGGCAGTGATCTCTTCCTCCTCTGTTGACGCCATGACTGAAATGGAGAGAAATGAAGGAATTTGTCACGAGCGAATTAAACTCAGTCCCAGCGTGGCTGTGGGAGGGTCTGGAGACTTCCTGTTGGGCTGGTCTGATGTGTGGGCTGCAGGACCAGCGCTCTCTGTTGTTTTTTTTGTTTTTTTAGAGCTTTTTATTAACATATAAACACAGAACACCGCTGTGACTGGGGCTGTCATCTTTCGGGTTTTTTTTCCTCGACATGTCACTCAGTCCAGTAGGCATGTCAGCAAATGACCAATAGGCAACCTCAATTTGTCCCGAAGCCGCTCAGGGTGTACGCTTGAGCATGAAGTCTGATCCCTCCGCGTACGTACGCGGGAGTATACTGGGGTCTTAACTCCATCACAGACTCTCATCTTGAACAAGCATGAAGGCAACAGTGGAAAGGAAAAACTCCCTCATGATGAAGAAACCTCCAGCAGAACCAGGCTGAGGACAAGCAGCCATCTGCTTCCATTATATTTAAAAAATAATATTAATAATGTTATACATTTGAAATAATTTTCTGAAAAAGTAAATAAAGAAATCTGCAGAAATCTTTGAAGTGAAAATACTTTCAGACATTTTTAATTTGCAAAGCAGATTCTTATGATTGGATGTCTTAAAACACCCATTTTATTACTTAACCACAGCATGCTTATATGAATTAAATTTGAGCCAATAGGAAATGCTCTGGTGGATCTTAGTCTTAACAGCTGACAGCTTCTGAAAAATCTAAACCTAAAATTTGTACATCAATATTTTGTTTGAAAGCTTCTCATGGCTGCTCCCTCAACAGGAAATCCAGCTCTAAGTCAGCTAGCCAGGTGCAGGCTCAGGCCACTGAGGCTATGGCAGAACCAGCCTATACCGTACCAGTGTTCCGGCAGAGGTGAGTTCTCACTGACTGTGTGTTTACTATTCTACCTTTACTCAGCCAACCAAGATGTGTTTAAGACGTTTAAATGTCCTCATAAAAAAGTTAATTCATTAAAAAAATTATTGACTGGAGGAACTTGTATGTCAGATTAACCTATGGCTTCCACTCAGCGTTATGATAGTTTGATTGTATATACAGTGAGGAAAATAAGTATTTGAACACCCTGTGACTTTGCAAGTTCTCTCACTTAGAAATCATGGAGGGGTTTGAAATTTTTAGAAGCACCTGTTTGAGGTGGTTAGCTGCATGAAGACACCTGTCCACCCCACACAGTCAGTAAGACTCCAACTACTAACATGGCAAAGACCAAAGAGCTGTCCAAAGACACCAGAGACTAAACTGTAGACCTCCACAAGGCTGGAAAGATCTACGGGGCAACTGCCAAGCAGCTTGGTGAAAAAAGATCAACTGTTGGAGCAACTATTAGAAAATGGAAGAATCTAAACATGACTGTCAATCTCCCTCGGACTGGGGCTCCATGCAAGATCTCACCTGGTGGCGTATCAATGATCCTAAGAAAGGTGAGGAATCAGCCCAGAACTACACGGAGGAGCTGGTCCATGACCTGAAGAGAGCTGGTACCACTGTTTCCATGGTTACTGTGGGTAATACACTAAGACGTCATAGTTTAAAATCATGCATGGCACGAAGGTTCCCCTGCTTAAATCAGCACACGTCCAGGCCCGTCTGAAGTTTGACCAGGACCATGTGGATGATCCAGAGGAGTCATGGGAGAAAGTTCTGTGGTCACATGAGACCAGAATAGAACTTTTTGGTCTTAATTCCACTCAACGTGTTTGGAGGATGAAGAATGATGAGTACCATCCCAAAAACACCATCCCTACTATGAAGCATGGGGGTGGAAGCATCATGCTTTGGGGTGTTCTTCTGCACATGGGACAGGACGACTGCACTGTATTAAGGGGAGGATGACCGGGGCCATGTATCGAGAGATGTTGGGGAACAACCTCCGTCCCTCAGTGAGAGCATTGAAGATGGGTCATGGCTGGGTCTTCCAACATGACGATGACCTGAAGCTCACAGCCAGGAGAACCAAGGAGTGGCTCCGTAAGAAGCAGATCAAGGTTCTGGAGTGGTCCAGCCAGTCTCCAGACCTAAACCCTGTAGAAAATCTTTGGAGGGAGCTCAAACTCTGTTTCTCAGTGACAGACCAGAAACCTGGTGATCTAGAGAAGATCTGTGGAGGAACAGTCCAGAATCTGCTGCAGTGAACCTGGTGAAGAACTACAGGAAACCTTTGACCTCTGTCACTGCAAATAAAGATACTGTACCAAATATTAACTTTGATGTTCACAGGTGTTCAAATACTTATTTGCAGCAGTAACACACAAATAAATTATTAAAAAATCATACTTTGTGATTTCTGGATTTTATTTTATTTTTTAAGGTTATGTCTCTCACAGTGGACATGCACGTAAGATGAAAATTTCAGACCCTCCATGATTTCTAAGTGGGAGAACTTGCAAAGTGGCAGGGTGGTCAAATACGTATTTTCTTCACTGTAAGTACAAATAATGTACATTAATATATAAACATTCTGTATGTGTTATCAGGACTGCTGAGGAAACTGAGGAGTACCAGAGAGTGACCACAAATGTTGGAAAAGGACTAGCTGTTATTCAGGAGGAGCTTCACAGGATGAGGATGGCAACCAAAGCTCAAGTGGACAGTATTGCTATCCAAAAAGAGGTCGGTAGTTAAACACTACCCTTAAAGAAATGCATTATTAATGTTGGGCAGCACGGTGGCACAACTGGTAGAGCTGCTGCCTCTCAGCGAGCAGGTCCCTGGTTCAAACCCCGGTCCGGGGGCCTTTCTGGGTGGAGTTTGCATGTTCTCTCCGTGCATGCGTGGGTTTTCTCCGGGTGCTCCGGTTTCCTCCCACAGACCAAAAACATGCATGTTAGGCTGATCGGTAACTCTAAATTGTCCCTAGGTGTGAGTGAGAGAGTGAATGGCTGTTTGTCTCGTTTGTCTCTATGTGGCCCTGTGATGGACTGGAGACCTGTCCAGGGTGTCCCCCGCCCCTCGCACAGTGATTGCTGGACATGGGCACCGGCGACCCCCGTGACCCAAAATGGAATAAGCGGGTAAAGAAAATGGATGGATGGAAGGATCTGATCAGCTGGTTTCTCAACACAATTAATAAAAATTTCTCAACGAGAAAACAGGGCGCAGGGGAACCCTGATGCCCTGAAGGGACACATGACACGTACATAATTGGATTATGACAATAGGAATATCTTCTTTTTGGAATCGGCGAGTACTTGGGATATCAACAAATTAGGAAGACGTAGGCAGCAGTTTTTGTTAATGGTAAGGCTGCCTGCCTATGTGAAGGATTGTACTGTGCTTCAAGCGCTCAGACTCAGATGCTTTGCGAGCCTAGAACTCGCTGGCATGAAGAAATCGACCTTGGAGAAGGCTACAAGCACGGACCGGCTGTTTGGATTCACCATTGAGTGCACCAGCAGAACTATGAAGGCAAACATGAAATCAGTAGAGTTATTCTGTCCCAAAACAATTGTTGTTTATCTGAATATGGCTTCCCTGCTAGGCCTTGGATAAATTTGCTCAAATTGCTCCTGGAGGATGAGTAAAACATGAAGCTATGCTCCTGCTACTCCCCCCCCCCCCCCCCCCCCCCCCACCAACCCTTATCCGAGCTGAGCCAGCTGATAGCCACTGTTCCATCTTATGAGGACTATGGAACTTTCTGACATTCTCTATCACTGTCATTAATCAGCTAACAAACAAGCAGCAGCTTCAGCTACCAGAGAGACTGACGTTACGTTTTCTCTCTTGGAAACAGAACAAATGTCGGATATTGTAGAGACTCACCTGCCAACACATGACAAGTTGGGAGTGAGATATGTTGTATCTGCTGCTGCTCCTTGATCCTCCTCGTGACTCCAACATGTTTACATTTATCTCTGTGGTTCTCCCGTGTCATGTCGTCACGTTTCAAAGCTGCATGTTGCGCAGTTTTCATCTTTGTGTAGCGTCAAGTGCTCCCACACTGTTGAAGACTTGGGTTGAACAGTTTTCTCTGCATCGGTCATTTGTAAAACGTATTTAATTTCCTTTGAAAACACTGCCTCTGCTCTGCTTCCGCCTTCCTCCTCGCTCTGTTCAACTCGCGCTGCAGAGTTTTTTTTTTTCAAACTTTATTCAGTCAGCCAGCATTGACAATGCTCTGCAGCCGAATAAAATGGCTCTGCAGCAGTAATCAATCAAAGGGTACTGACTCCTTGGTTCAATTCTGAGTTACGTACTTTAAAGCAGGCATCTAGAAACCAGGAGAGAAAATGGCGTGTTGAAGATGTAGAAGTTAATGTTGAAGAATTTTATTTAACTTGGAAAGATAGTCTTCTAACATATAAAAAAGCTCTCCATAAAGCTAGAACTTTATATTACTCATCTTTAATACAGGAGAATAAAAATAACCCTAGGTTTCTGTTTAGAACTATTGCTAGACTAATTAAAAGTCCCATTTCTGTTGAACCATGTATCCCTACAACTATAAGTAGTGATGACTTCATGAGATTCTTTATAAATAAAATTATTTCAATTAGAGAGAAAATTCAAACCATCCTTCCTTCTACTATCTCTAGTCCCCTGTCAAATGAGGCAACTTTAAAAATTTCACTAGAGCCTGATTTATGTTTGGACAGTCGTTGTCCTGTTGAGCTCTGAATTGTCAAAAATAATAACCTCATCCAAACCATCCACATGCCTGCTAGATCCCATCCCAACCAGACTGTTTAAAGAGGTATTTCCCCTAATTAATGTCCACATTTTGGATCTACTTAATTTGTCTTTAATGGATGGTTATGTACCATCCATTAAAGTTTAAAAGCCACTGGGACGTTATGTTTAGAAAATAAAGGTCTCAGTTTCTCTGATACTCCCTCAACATATGGAATGACCACTGGTCTGGGTCTGGGTTCCTCCTTTTCACCTGATGGCTGACTGGAGTCCTGTTTGGGTTTCTTCTCTGCTTTCAGGAAGGCCCAGTTAGGATATCCACATTGCTCTAGAGCCTGTCTTGTGTGGGATTTCTCCTTCTGCCTGGCTCCCGAGCTAGTGGGGATGCTGTCTGCTCTGTGGTACAGAGTCCTGATGACTCCTAACTTGTGCTCCAAAGGGTGATGGGAGTCAAACTGCAAATACTGGTCTGTGTGGGTGGGTTTG